GCTGCTCGTCTTCCCCGGTGAGGGAGCGCTCGTACAGCCCCCCCAGCGACGGGACGGGCAAGGCGGCGCCCTCGCCTCCGAGGTGCAAATCGCCCCTGCTGGGGGCCCGACGGGAGCGCCCCGCGCTGCGTTTTCCAGCACTTGGTGCCCTTAACTGATGGCTGCCTCGGGAGGGTTTGCGATGGAGAAACCCTTCTGTAGCCTGCCATAATCCAGCTCTCCTGTTTCCAGGTTGCTGAGCAGCTGCTGTCTGACCACTGGAAGAAAAACAACGCGGAGCTCCGGGAGGTGATGTCACTTTCTTTTTAGTCCCTGCTGCCTTGCATTTATGAAACCAGTTTTTAACTCGAAAATCATCTTATATCTACTGTTGTCATTTGTCTTGAATCACGGCAATTGTCCTAAATTCTGATAAGCAAAAGGCAGAGAAGTAAAATGGCTTAACTGTGTAAGAAGTCCCCTCAAAGCTGGTATTTTTCAAAACCAGTCAGAAATCTGTTCTGACTCGGAGCAGACGTTCAGTGCCCGTGATGTAAATATCTCAGGTGCTTTTTAAAGCCGTACCTGCCATGTCCATGGCACTTCCTTATTCTTTATTCCACCGACCTGCTGCTCGAGCTGCCACAGCTCTGGCTCCAGTGTCACTGTAGTGTTTCCCAGAACTGGCATGTGACATTGACCCTCAGCTTGGGACCTGGAGGGCACCCAAACGAGCCCACTTCTGCAGAGGCAGATTCTGGTGGGACTTCAGGGCTACGGCTGGGCTCCAGAGAGTCCCGTAGATCCTGGGGGACAGGAGAGCCTCTGGCGCTAATGGCGATGCCACATCTGTTGTCCTCTACAGGTGGAGTCGGAGCTGCACAGGAAGCATGTGGTAGAGGCTTGGAGTGATCAGCTAGCGCAAAAAACCAAGGTATGCTGGGGTAGTCCTAGTGTTACTGGTCACTAGGGCAGGCTCCTGAAACGCATGAGCAGGTGGAGGTGTGACACCATGTGCCTTTTGACCCAGCTGGCAGACAGCTTGCCTTCCTGCATGGCCACGGCTCAGATCTGGAAGGAATAGGAGTTGGCTGTTTGTTCGTTTTCTCACACCAGTCTTGAACCAAATAATGACTTTTGTCGCTGAGCTCGTTCCTGTAGCGATGGGGAGTTCTGGCGTCCGCAGAACGACAGGAGCTGCTAACAGGAAGGATGCTTTTAATGAAGAGCCATCATTCCTGTCTAACAAATACATACTATCTGTCTCCTAAAAAATCCAGGGCTATCTGCTGAACGGATCTGTTGCGGATTCAGTGTGGCACTGTGTGCTCGCCTAACTGCAAACTGCAGTGCAGAGCCAGTGCAAAGCTGCAAGAGCTCAGTATTTGAATATGCACATACTAGATGTGGGAATGCAGTCATTTTGATGTGAAAGAATAACAAAGGCCTTCAAATACAGATTTCAGAGTTAACTAAAACAATAACTGAGGCCGTAATAGGAAAATCTGAGTGTATTTGTGACACCACCTGTGCTTAGCATCAGACCTGTGCAGGGTCCTGTGAAGGACATGTATAACTGATAACCGTTTTCAGGCAGCAGTCAGCAGATGATAGTTTTGCTTTGTCCTTGTATTCTTTCCTAGCGTATTTTGTTCCATATTTTCCCAATAAGTGTCGGCTTGCAGGAGTCTGATTTGCGGATTTCCTGAGCCAGAGGCCGTTCCTTTGCGTTAGCCTAACCTTAAATGCATGTTTTCTTTTGGCTCGGAAAGCAAGAAGCAACTGAACTTGAAGAGAAAAAACGTTACAAAAACGAATATGAAATTGCGCGAAGGGAAGCGCTGGAAAGAATGAGACAAGAGGAAGAGAAGCGTCGGCTGGAAGAGAAGAAGCAAGCGGAGATGTTGGTTCAACAAATAGAAGAACTGAAATTACAGGAGACAGAGGTAATCTTTAGTTTCTCCGCATTTGAGAAGGAAATCCATTGTTTCACTTGGAAATACAGCAACACTAACCTGACCTCTTCCCTCCAGGTTTCCACTAGATTAAATCTGGAACAAAGTTTGCTGTGACATAACTTCTGTTAGTAATGAATGTAGACCTCTCCCCTGAACACTGGCATATTAACTGAGTTCTGGTAGCTTTTGTTTACTCCTCTTGAAATGCGAGCACCCTTTTGTGCTCACCAGGTGAGAAAAAGATTTGTAGAAACTTCTAAGTGTGACAGGTTCAGGTCAAAGGCTTTGTCCCCTGGAGCTCCTCGCCGTGTCCCTTATGCTGTGAGCCACTGAGCCACAAATTAAATTCATGAAGAATATTTACTGCAGTGAGTATTTTGACTGGTTGCAGAGGAGCAGAACGGGGTACAAATGGTACAAATGCTCTTTCTTGGACGTCCAAGCTCTCTGACATACTCTTTCTTGGTGGTGGTTTTTTCCTTTTAGGCAACAAAGCTGAAAAAAGAACAAGAGAATTTATTAAGGCAGCAGTGGGAGCTGGAGAACTTGGAAGAAGAAAGGAAACAAATGGAAGAGCACCGGAAGAAGAACGAACTTGGGTATGAGATCCAGTGTAGCTTCTTTTCAGCAGGGCTTGGATAGAAGCTGTTCTGATGTCCGCAATAGGACTTGGGGCATGAGGATATATTTCAGATTGCAGCGGTGGGTTATAAATACTTGGTTTTTGTTGGAAACGCCCAGAAGAGCCAATGCATTGGTGCCGTTACTTCTTTTTGTTCATGTTAGCAGTAGCAGGTCCCTCTTGCCCATAAGTTACGTTGTCATAGATGCACCTGTGTGAGTGCTGGTGTATACCATAGGGCTTTAGAATCAATTTGAATTTTTTCTTTTTTTTTTTTTTTTTGTCCTTCAGCCACTTTTTGAGGCATCAGTATAATGCCCAGTTAAAGAGACGAGCTCAGCAGATACAAGAGGAGCTGGTAAGAGAAAGTACCTGTTGGTTTATACGTTATAGATACCGTGTGCTGAAAAAACTTGGGTTTTGTGTTTCATTTCTGTGTCTGCCTCTGATGCCTACAGATAATTAGTTAGGAAGCCCCTTCCAGCTTGTGAACAGGGCTGGAGCAAAAAGATCATGGGGAAGCCAGCAGACTGAGCGTCTTGCTGAACACACCCTTGATGCTGTCACCCATAATTTGTACAGGGTAGCCCTGCACACAGGCTGGAAGCCTGTTGGATAGTTATTAATCTTGTGGTTTTTCTCAAGGAGATAGACAGGCAAATCTTATTAGCCCTCCTTGAGAAAGAAGACGAGGATCAGCGCTGCCAGTCTGTACGACAAGAACAAGCTGTTGCAGATGTTGCCTGGATGAAACACGTCATTGAGGAACAACTCCAGTTGGAAAAGGAGAGGGAAGCAGAGCTACAGACTGTTTTTAGGTGAGTCTGCCCACCCCTGAACATCATCTGAAGAGACCGTATGCGCTGAATGTTCCTGCCTGGTTGGCAGAGCTCTGTTTGTGCTTGTTAAATAGGCTTTGAAAGTGGACATTAGAAAGCGGTGTCTGGTTGGCCTTGCGGTTCCAGAAGCACCGCGGTAGGAGTGAGCTCTGTCCGTTCCTTCCCTGTGCTGGGTACCGTGCTGGGCGCTCAGCGTGCCGGTACAGACAGACTCGAAGCTTTTCTGCCAGGACAGAATCAAAACCAGAGGTTGTTTTTCAACTACCTCAGCCCAAGACCTAGTCCATAATTTCTGTTACATTAGCTCTAATGCAACAGCTTTAATAACAAAAAAAGGTGATAGCACAGAAACGGCAAGAATTACCTTTTAGTTGTAGTACTTTGTAACCAGCTTTCAATGATTCAGCATTACTGGTATGGAGTGGTTTTGTCTAAGTGACTCCCAAACCTGCGTATCATTTCCTTTTGTACCTCAGAGCTTGTAGATAAAAGCTGCCTCAGGTTCCTTGTTCAGGTTCACGTTACACTCTCCCCACCGCAGAGAGCATCTTCACTGGTGACAGGACAGTTCGTGCTACCATCAAGTTTTAGTTAAAGGTTTTGTTGCAGAGGGAAGATTTGCAAAACCTTCAGCTTTTCCAGCAGTGCCCTTAACTACCCATCCCCTGGGTGAAGCGCTAGCCGTGTAGAGGCAAGCTTGCTCCCCAGGCCCTTCTGTGCCTGGGGCAGATTGGTACATCCAAGAATTCCTGCTACAGGCTGGCGTTTCCTTCAACCTGTTCCCTCCTGCCGTTGAGCAACGGGGAGGTCAGAACAGTTCTCTGACACCAGCGCAGGTGGGGCCGACACGCTAGCTGCTGGGGAACAAATGTGAAAAGAAACCGGAGTGCTCCTCTGAAGCACAGGGTTAGTTCATCTATGCCCATGGAGTATACAGGGGGTTTTTTTCACTGTAAGTAGTAACCTTAGAGATAATTCTTCCTCTCTCCTAGAGAAGAAGCTAAAAAACTGTGGGAGAAGATGGAAGAAGAATGGGAAAGAGAGACGGCGGCCAGAGATCATCTGATGAATGAGGTGATGACCTTTTTTGATCAGGGTCTGCCTTGGTTTGATGAAGCCATCATTCCAGCTGTAACCCTCCACCCTCCAGAGTTACAGCCTTCAGGGCACAGTTTTTCTGCTTGTCTGATATATTTTCTGAGAACTGTTTAACTGTCTGCACTGAGATTTCCCCATTTCTGCTCCTAACGCTGTCCCCTTTCTTGACTTACCTTACCCTTAATCTTTTCACTTCACAAAGGTCCTTGCAGGCAGACAGCGCCAGATCCAAGAGACGATGGAGTTAAACAGACAAGCCCAAGAAGAGTCTATAAAGCATCGAGAGCAGCTGATTAAAGAACTTGAAGAGGCAAAAGAACTGACTAGGCAAGAGGAGTGGGAGGAGGAACTGAAGACAGCCCGCCGGCAGGAGTTAGAGGCACAGGTACAGCACGCTTCCCAGATACGCAGCTGTTAAAGGTGCCCGGTCTGTGTCTGATCTCGCTGTAACAGCCCTGTCTTCTCTGTGCCCAGCTGACAGAACGCCGCTTCCGAGAGGAGGAGCAGCAGCACCGGAGGGAGGAGGAAGAAGAGGAGCGATGGGCCCGGCAGCGCTGTGAGGAGCTGGTGGAGCGGGAGGCCAAGCGCATGGCTGAGCGAGGCTACGGCAGCAAGGTAGGTATCGAGGGTAAGGGCAGGCCTGTACCTATGGGTCGCCCTGAGGGGAGGGCGACGGCATCACGCAAACAGACTTCTCGTAGTTTCTAAGCCGTGCCTTAGCTGCCACGCAGCGCTAGGGCAAACCACCGGGCCTCTTCCTTCCCCTGGTGCTGTTTCTACCACAGGTCTCTAGTTCTCTTATAAATGGTTTTTCTCTTTTGCCAATATTCATGCTTTGGGTCCTCATTTTTAAAGAATTTTTGAGGCAGACTTTTTGCCACTGCCTCAAACGTTATTCTAATTATTTTCAGCATTATCAGCTGCATTAATGCAGTTGGTACAGCTCATCGCAGCTGCTCAGTGTCCTTGTCTTCTGTCGTGCTTTGCCTACCTCTAAAAATAAAGCTGAATTGAATAACCCTAACTAAACCACATGCCCAGCAGATCTTATTTTTCATATTAAATTATGAGCTGCTGTGCGGAGTCACTCACCTCTGTCATTTAGTAGACAGTAGCTACTAAAGTCAGGGAAAGCTGGAAGGAGGTGTTACTGCCTTAAAGTAGCAACCCTTTAAATGTTAGTGGTGCCTTTTCTTGGAAGGTATTCTGTACTCTCCGCAGTACCTCCTGTGCATGCTGAATAGCGCGTGTGCAGAGGAGTAATTTTAGAGCCCATGGAGTAGTAACAGTCTTTGTTTTGACCCCGTTAGCTCTACCATTACCCAAAAGCAGCGTGGACCTGAGGATTCTTGTCCTTTGCGCCCGAGGAACAAGCACTAAATGCAGTTGCAGACTACAGAAAGAAAACTTTGAAGAATCAAGGAACAACTGAAATAATGGTGGCTTTGGACTAGCCTACAACGCCGCCGAGACTCAACTCAGTACATTTCTGAAAATATTTAGCTGTGGCCCAGCTGAACACATTTCAACTGGCTTCACAAATGTGGAGGTGTGAGCATCCTTGGAGGACCAAACTGCTTCACTTACTCCGTGTTCAGGAGTTGCGATGATCTATTTTATGTATGTGCTACACTGGGGCAACACAGCAAATAAAGAGGCTCTTTGGATCTAAACGATGAAAGAATCTGTGCCTCCTGTAGAACAGGAACTGCAAAGCACTGTGTGCTGCATTTGCCATTGAAGTGTCGGAGAAGCGGGACCGGCCTCGATACCCAGCTGGCTTTTAGGAGTTGATTCATAATGCATATTGCAAATTAGTGCGAGAGATAATTCTTAATGTGTCCAGTTCCTCTCCAGAAGGTGCTGAAGGCTTCATTAAATGTTCTTTTTCACTTCTTTCATAAATAATCAATAATTGCAACCTGAACAACTGTTTGTTTCTTCACATGAGCAAACTACTGCAACAGCAGGAGGGGAGGGGAGTTTTAGTTGATTATCGCACTCAATTCCTCGCCGTTATCATTGGCGACTGCAGCTTAAAATCAGTCCGCGCACTCCAGCTGGCGTGGCACGCTCGTATCCTGTCACAGTGTGTGAGGAGCTGTTACAGGGCTGTTGCAAAGATGGGTGCCATCACAGCGCTGCAAGCTGTGCTCAACTATAGAAACCTTTTCCAAGATCTTTTCTTTACAGAACCAGCAGTCAAATTACACCAAATAATTCAGCACATTGAAAGAGTTTTAGCATTTTATCGTAATACTGTAAACAAAACATTAAGTCAAAATATTGTACAGACAGAATGACACTGATAAATACAAGTTTTGGAAAAAGGCAAAAAAATTTTTACTTTCCTATGCAGCATTTTGTAAAGAAGGAGCAAGTTTGCTTACAGGGGAAAAAGAGATCTAATCATAAAAGAAAAAAAAACACCTTTCTTATTTCAGGTATTATAAATCTCCTGCCCCACAGTGCTGTATGATCTGAGGGCTCACTTACGTACTACTCTAGTTCCACTGTTGGTTTTGAACCACGCTGCCTGTTTGTGAAAAGAGCTGATGCAGCACTTCAGCATGTGCTCAGATCGCTTCTGTTTTACCAAGAACGTCAGAACACGGCGTACCTTGCGCCACAGTCACCGCGGTTCTGGTGCGATGACGCAGTGTGATCATAACCAACCTAGAACAAACGTTTGGTCAGAGGTGGGGGAACTGACCAGAAATACTGCTGAAGTGACTGAACGGGAAATCCATTATGGGACGGCCATGGTTTTATAGCTAGGCCTTCCAACGAGCTAAAGGGTTGATTTTAGAAAATCTGGAGCTAGTGTAGCTGCAACAAGGGCTTGCAGTTATCAAAGTGTCCTTTTGTTTTGGTACAGAGGCAAGTTTAAACAACTGATAACTTACTTACACCATGACTGTGTTAGCCTGCTTTGCAAATCAGGTAAGATATGTTCAAGAAAAGCATACAATGGTGTCCTGAGAGATTTAAAAATACCATCTTCTGCCTTTCAACGGTGCCAATTCAAGGAAAAGTTCCTAGAAGATTATCAATGTATTTAATTGCCAGTAGCATAATTTTGAAGTAGGTTTTACACATGTCTCTTGCAGTTCTAATCCCAGGCAGTTCTAATCCCAGCCCATCTGCATTCCCATGAGTTTAGAGACAGTTCTGGAATACAGAAGTGGAGAAAGGAAATAAAAAAAAAAAAACAACCTGACAATGAAGAACATTAATTTACTGTGTTGTCATCTACTCTCTCCATTCCTTCCCTCCCTGAAACTTGCCCTACTTTAAAAAGGGAGCTAATTACAACATCCAAGAATCCAACACTGTTATGGCACTTAGTGTTTATATAAACACTCAAACACACTATGATTTGAAAAGGAACCAACCACTGAAATTTAGTTTGTTTGTTTGCCTAAATACGGCAGTTTTTCTCCAGAAAGCCTTGAAGATTGTGTGGTTTTGGCAGACTGCATACTGCAGACCTGTTTGTGGAACAGCAGATAGCCATTTCTGACTCAAAGGTTTCTGTAAAAAAACTGTCTAAATGTTCATATCAACTGCTGCCACATTGCAGCTGCTGCAGTTCCATAACTTTGCTCTCAACTGCGAGACTGCTCTAAGTGGCTGCCAGCTGAACAGTGGCAGCTGGCTCCGTGGAAATGACAACACGCTTCCAAATGGGACACAGGCAAAAATTAGTGATTTTTTTTTTTTTTCCTCCCCTCCATGGAATTTAGACTCCCCAAAAACTCTCATTTTTGAAATTATGGACTGACACATTTTTGTAAGTTTTGTGAACAGTTATGAATGAAAAAAGATGAAACACACACTGACATCTGTTACTCGGCCACCTTTCTGACAGACAGCCTAGCATGGGTTACTCCGTATGTAGCTTGTAAAATTTTGAAAGATTTGCATAAAACTTGTAAGAAATGTTTTCACATTTGGATATGCTGAGGTACAGAGGTTATATGCTATGGCAGACACAGCTGCTTTTGCACTGGCACTCTTCTAACTTTCTTGGTTTTTTTAATTATCACAGAAATCTTGAGTGAAATTGCATCTTGAGTTACTGAGCAATGCTGCGGCAAACAAGATGGTGCCTTGAAAATGACAGTAAAATTCTGCAGGAAACTTAAGAATGAATTATTAAGTCAGAAACAAAGGATAATATTTTAACCACTAATGCCCTAAAGTAACATCAAACATATATATTAATGGCATAGTGACAACTAAAAGAAATAACTATTACATTTCAAATTCCTTCCAAAACAGATAAAGTGACAAAGACCTTGTATAGTTACATGTAATAAGCTTGGATGCCCACAACTACTATTGTTTTAGCAGACTAAAAACATATTATTGCACAACGGTTGATATGAGAACAGAGAATATTTGGCTTGTACTCCATTATCAGGACTACAACCTTCTTCCTGCTGGTTAGCAGTTACGGTTCTAGAGCCCTCGGAGCCTGTTTCGCTGCAGGTTTCTCAGTCAGTGCCATCACAGCACGCGAGGCTCCAGGATGGACGGACCAGAGTGAGATTCTGCCCTCCGATACATGAGGCTGACTTCAGTGGGAATTTCGCAAGTGATATCTGAAAGCAGGACACGGCCCGAAGGAAAACATCTAGCAAGAGCTTGATACAACGCTGGTAGGTGATATTGGCTCGACAGCTATTTGCAACATGCTATTATCTGTAACTAAACTGGCAACACAGGCACAAAATAAGGCAGTGGGTTAAATTAATCATAAAATTGTTAGAAAACATGCAAAAATAATACTGAGTTTTAAAAAAAAGTTTCTTGCCCCTTTAGTTTTTCTCATAAAAATTGGAATAGTTCCACACCTTCTATTTGAAATCCAACCTTTAAAAAACAAGACTAAAAAGCCAAGTGTGACTCAGTTATTGTTCTCTTTGGTTGTGATGGTAACCAGCTGTTTAGCAGCCTTGGCGATGTCGTAGGCGCACTGGATGACTTGCTGCGTGACCAGCTGGATGTCTGTCGTAGGGCATGTCTCCACGGGAAGGGTTTTTTTGCACTCGGATTGGAGTCTGTAGGCACTAGATGTCAGCAGACGCAAAGAAGTCCTTACCAGTTCAGATTTGGGTTTCTGGGGAAGGGAAGGAGAAGTTGAACTAGACAGAACAACAAAACTGTTTCAGAATTGCTTTTAATTAGCTGGTAGTGGTTCACAAGTGTTCTTTAATACAGGATATCTGCTGCTAGGGCCCTGCTTTCTGCACAGACTTCTCTGGGCTGTAGGAGATGATGTAAGCCATCGCTGCTGCAGAGACATGGGGTAGGGGCGGGTGAAAGAAGTTGCTGGAATTTCTCCTCTCTCATCTCAGGGACGCTTCAAGCTGCTGCCAGGCAGCACGCAGGGAATACTGCTTCATGCTCTCATCTGGGAAGTTACTCATACAAATTTTCTAGTGCCCATTTACTGCTACCCAGCCCATGTCCTGGCTGACATCAGGGGAGAGCGTGTACAAGACAATCCATTCAGGTACACACAACAGCATTAGATACTCCTTGCAGTTTTATAGAGGTAGGTAAGACTTTACAAAAAACTTGGTCACAGAGATTTCACTCCCTGCTGTGAAGAAACAGATCGCTTTGGTAGATGGATAACAGATCTAAACATACCTGCAAGTAAGAAATCCAAGCAACGGCACTCAAATGGAAACCTAGGGGTGCAGAGTCTAGCAAAATTCTCATATAACCACATGACTCCTCAAGCCAGATGCAAGCAGCCTCCAGTTTTGGAGGAAAACTGCATGTAATTCTTAAGAGTTTTAAGTTCAAGAGTAAAATTAAAGGCCTGGATTCACACCTTAGCCCTTCCCAATTGGCATGCTAATAAATACAAAGATGCAAGATGTGACAGAAACACCTCGTCATTTCTCCCTACCTCTGGCTTTTGATTTTCACTTACTGAAGGGAAATCTACTAACGAGGAATGAGGCCAAAAACATTTTAATGCTGGAAGGTACTTACTTTCGGGAACAAGGCTGCCATTTCCGTTACTGCCACATGTATTCTCTCGGAGCATGGTATATAGCTGCAAAAAGATGCAATGTATTATTCATTACGTAAAGACTCCCTTTCCTCCTCAATTTCACTAGTCAGTGGCTATTATTCTAAAAACAACCGAGTAACAAAACCCCCGTATATATTCTAAAAATATCTTTGTAGCCTGCACTGAAGGCAACTGAAGTAGCTAGTACAACACACAATATGGTGACTCTTAGTGTCTCCTCAGCATTCCACAGCACACTGCAGCCCAAGTTTGTATATAACCATGCGACTTCAGAAAAAGCAAGAACTTAACCAATAGTACAAAGTTATTTCTTAAGTTTTCATTATTCTTCAATCAAAGCTTGTTTGAAGGAATATCTGTCCACACGTATTATACCAAACATCATCAGAAAAGTCTGAATTTGTATGCAATTATGGAAACGTGTCTATGAATATTAACTGCCCATTAATTCATTATGCTTGCATTTCCTAACCTCCCCCCCACCTAACTATTCAAATGCTAGAATTTGTCTCCAGGTTGTACAGAAAATTACTCAGCTCGTTCTGTTTGGTGTATGCACGACAACATACTATTGCTATGTGTGGGACAGCATGCCCAAGCAAACTGGTTCAGGCACAAAGTAAAGTAAGATTCTGCAGCTTGAAAATACTTAAACAAAATCCAGTGATACAGAGGTGCTTTACAAAAAAAGCAACATTTTTTCCCCTCAGTGCAGTGATGATGATCAAAAGC